TTTTTTTGCAGTTACATTCATTGTTGGGATCTTGTACCTCTACATGACAAGTATATTGAGCCAGGGATTTAGCTCAGCGGTTCAGTGGCCTGCCTTGTACATGCAAGGACCCGAGTTCAATCCCTGGTACCCCCCCAAAAAAAAGTATATTGAGATCAGTGTCATCTATACATTGAGAGACTAGATTCCATATCTATGTCAAATAGTTTGCTCTAAAAATCATTAACACCAGAAAACTTACTCTAACTTAATAATATAAACTTTAGATAATTAGGTGAAAATTAGAAAATATGTTTCAAAAGCCCCATACTTTTAGAAATGTAAATACCCATATAAATTACAGTGTTTAAATATGCATATGAGGTGTATCAAACTGCAACAGTTTATTTAAAGGAATTTCTCTTAAAAGGAATAATTTATATCATGTAACTTGCAAGGAATTACTTCAAATTTGAAAAAGCCATCCCTGATATCTCACTTACAATATGAAAGCATTTCCTTTTCAGCTTGTCAGCTAGAGGCAGAGTTGACATAGCTCTTTTCAGCAGAAGAGGTTAATTTCTATGAGATTAATTCAGAGAACAAAATTTCTAATGTTCAGTCCATTAAAGTTGGGAAACCCATCTGTAGTGATACTAGGGCAGAATGGAGCAAATCATCTATTTCTGAAGATTCCTTCATATAAATGTTCCACAAACAAAAGCTTGTCCTAATTTACTCTGCGTTGATTCTATCTTAACTTTGCAAAAATATAAAGAGGCTTATATAATTGAATAGTAGGAGTTTCTTAATCAGGGTTCAGAAGAGAATAATACTGCATATCGCTTCATATATATTACCTATATTGATACAGATATAGATATACATACATATCCAGAAAAAAAGAGGTGAAACAATATTTTTATATGCATAATTTCATAAAATATTTGTTTAGAAGTGCTTTCATTCAGATGTTCATTTGTATCTAATTCAGGAGAAAAATCTTGTATTCACTGACAAGAGACAATAAATGAGAAAGTCTCAGCTTGTATGTTACTATCAGTTGGTACCATAATAAATGTATAATTTTGGCATATCAATTTGATAACTTCAGGAAAATGTGAACGATTAATATATCTAACAAGCTTAAAAATAAAAATCAGAATCCTACAAGACTTGGGTTGAGAATAAATATATATGGCAAATCACTGAAAACTTTAAAAATTTGAAATTTTCTTTTGTAGGGATCCAAAACAGCATTCACGTGTGAACTGAATGATGAAGAAGCAGACATAGTACAATTTCTGGAAGGATGGATTGCCTTTTGTCAGAAAATCATCTCGACACTGGCTTGATAATCATGTACCTTCCATTTAAAACATAGGGCTTTCTATTTATTTAAATATTTAAATTTTATATTTATTTTTGAATGTATGGTTTGCTACCTTTTGTGACTGTTATTCTTAGTCTTCAGATTATAAATATGGATCTTTTAAGATTCTTTTTGTAAGCCCTAAGGGCTTTAAAATAGTTTCATATAAATTATTTATTGGAAAGTATTTATTATCATATTGAATTTTAAATATATCTATGTAGATTCATTAATAAAATATTTAATAAAATTCATGATTGTAAATGAGCCTGGATATTTGTTGTTTTGGGAACAGCATAGAATAAGCAGTAAAATACTTATGAAATATTCACATGAGCTGTATGATGGCTAAAGTGCTTACAAAAATCACTTTTCTCTTAGAGAAATAGTAGACTAAAGAATGTAAACTTTTCAGAGCTGATTAGAAACTTAATTTTGGTTTGAGAAATAACCAGACAATATTTTCCTTTAAATTCAAACAAAATTCCAAACACAAACATACTTAAAAATTTGTCTTAATTTTGTGTTACTATAACAAAATGCCTGAGGGTGGGTGCTTGAAACTGAAAAATAGGTTTATTTAGTTCATGGTTCTGGAAATTCAAGAGCATGCTGCCAGCCTCTGATGAGGGCCTCAGGGCAAATGACATCACAATGGTGAGAACATGCACAAAAAGAGAAATTTTAGGAGTGTTGCCAGCCTCCCTTACAGCAACAATTCTTGCAGTAACAAATCTAGTCCCATAACATCTGACCCATTATCTGGGACAGCATTAACACAATCATGAGGATAGAACTCCCATGACCTAATTACCTTTCACTACTCCCTGCCTCTTAAATGTTCCATCACCTCAACACCACCCATCACCCTGGGGACCAAAACTCTAGGAGGTAAAGTTTTGGGGGACAAAACATTTTAAAAAAACAGCACTCTTTAAAGAACTCGTATATCAAGAGGCTTAGCAGTATGGCCTACATCAAAGTCCTTTCCTCTCTTCTCGTTGCACCGAGCCACTTGGGAGCCCTAATAGGAGGATTAAGAGACAGAAGAGTTTTCCCTTTTTGTGGGGTAGTCTATGTATGGTTATGCCTCCTGACTAAAGAATCATATTTTGTCAAGGTGGCATTTAGGATATTTTTTTTTCCTTCTGGGCTCTGATAATCTCTCCTTTTTTCTTTTCTTTTCTGTTTGTTTGTTTGTTTGTTTCTTTTGGTACCAGGGATTGAACTCCAGTCCTTGCACTTGTGAGACAGGAGGTGGCACTACTGAGCTAAATTCCCAGCCCTTCATTTTACTTAAACTAAGGAATACTATTCTGCTGTTACAACCTCTAGGGTACTTATACTAACTAGCCATTATAAATTGCTTGTACCTTGACCAAAGCTTTGTAAATCATTCCTTTATTAACTTCTCATTCCAACTAAGTATGATTTCTTTCTGCTGCTGGGTCTCAGATACAGCAATTATCTGTAAGTAAGTAGCCCAAAGAAATAGACTTTCAGTATAAGATGTGGGAACTGCATTGTTCATATATTAAAGAAACACAGCAATAATAATACGTACAAAATCTATGGGGTAAAATAGTATCCTCATTGCTTAACTTATCATCAGTGGTAGCATGGAATGAAATTCAGACAAAGGCCAGGTGTTAAGAACAAATGGCTGTGATATTAAGTTGCAAAACAACAATAGTTATAAGAATTAGAATTATCATCTATATTCGTATGAAGCTCCAGACAGAGAGCAAAGGGAGAAAATTATAAATTATGAATGCACAATTTGAAACATATTTGGGTAGTCAGAAGTCTTCCTTAGCAGTTTTCAGGGAGTCCTTCCTCTCTTGCAGTCACAAAGCAGCTATGACAGAAAGCAAAGCTGAGATCTGATGTGAGGTCTACAAAGGTGTAGTGTGAATTAAAAGTTTAAGCCTTTCAAGTGTCTTACACTAAGGATAGAGAAGGTGTAGGAGTCTGAGATATGACATGATGATATTTTGCCAGACATAGAGGAAACAGACCTCTGAACATCTTTCCTGTTGAGAGTGGCAATTCCTTTTATTCAATAGTATCCCTCTTAAAGAAAAAAAAATCCCTGCTTTAATACCTTCCAATGACTCAAAATTTGAAGATAATTTTCCTCAGATCTCATCTCTAACATATTTTATTGTCTCTAAACCTCCAATGGGAATTAAGGTCTCAACACCACTGGTACGGTGAAGGTGTTTAGAGCAAGAGATGTGAAATGTCATGATTAGTGATTTATTTAACTGAGATAGGGGAAGCTATCTGAAATTAAGAATTTGATGAAAACAACACATTATATTAATAGTTGGCTGAGTAAAGGCTTAGATTCTACGATAGCCTCTGTACTGATGCTAAAATGTAGAGCTTCCTTAATGCATAGGACTGTGGAAATTGACAATGTTGGAATGAATATATTATGTGCAATCTTCTGATACCACTTAGGGAAACATTATATGATATATAACAGGAACACTATATGAAATCTAACAGAATTCTTCGGTGGCTTCTACATCAAAAGTAATAGTAGATGAGGATGTAATGAAAATGGTCCCCCTGACCTTACTGAGAATAATGGAATCCTGAAGTGATAAAAGTCAGGTGGTAACAGTTAGACCTCAGAAGCTAGATGAAAGCAATCACCACTATAAACTACTGGACAGAACACTAATCAATGTCTTGACACAGAAGAAGTCTGCAATGAGGGCTGATTGCAAAATCTGTATAAAAAAATTCAGAAGAAAGATTCTTCTCCTGCTAGGTAGAAATGAATACAAAGCCCCATGGCTGGCATTTATTTCCTATTCCCAGTTCCCAAAATTGAGCCACTTCATAGACCTGGTACCCATGATTTAGGGGAAGTGGCTGGATAACTTTAAGGAACATACTGCTACAGATGTCTCCTGTAAAATTTCCCCAAGCCTTTTTGGAATGGATATTTATCAAGAAGATCATGTACTAAGGGTGGGAAATATCTAGATATTCTGGGAGTGGGTGTTAGATATGTTTATGAACTGATCCTAAAATCCCACTGTGAGCCATGAAGAAGTGTAGAGGGTTATGGAGGTCAAATGAGAGTTGATGCATTAGCAAGTCTACCTCAGTAGAGTCTAGAAGAATATCAGACCCTCCTACTGTACACTCTTAAAGTGGCCAAGTGTTTCTACTGCTAAGGTTTCTCCTAACTCTCAAGAGAACATGCTGTATGGAACATAGTTGACTGAAGAAGCTAAGACCTGAACTGAAGCAGACCTGAACTACAAGAAATAATAAAGAAATAACTGTTGGCCAAAAGAAAAGAAAAAGCCTCCTAGATGAAAACGTAAAATAGCAAAAAAAAAAAATCTTACATCTTAGAAGGCACACAAGTAACTAGCAAGGCTATGTCTTGTAAAACAGTGGCACCTTGGCTAACAAATGCCTTTGCTTGAGAGCAATATGGTTCACAAACAGAAGTGTTTGGCAAAATTTGTGGGTTTTTTTTGTGTGTGAACTCTGTTTTGGGTGATGAACATGATTGCAGCCATCTTCTCTGCATGAACATGAACATGGCCATCTTTTCCAGAATCATGGGACAAACTAAGTTTGTGAACCGAGGCACCACTGTATTAATACATGCACAAATAAAATACTGACAACAAAAATAATAAGGTTAAAAAATGATAAATGGCATTAAAATGTTGCAGGACCCTTGCATTGTTCGGGACATGATAAATGAATGCATTTAAGGTAATCTATAAAGAGTCAAAGTTGAATATTACAATCTAGGATAACTTGTAAAAGGATAGTACAACTAAAAAATAACAAAGGAGAAAACATGATACTAACTTATTTAATTAATTTAAGTCAAGAAATACTAACTTATTTAATTAACTTAAAATAAGTCAAGAAAGAATTAATAAGGCCAGGGATTTTGCTCAGTGGTTCCAGTGCCTGCCTCACAAGGGCCCAAGTTCAATCCCCAGTACCAAAAAAAAAAAAACAAAAAAACCCAAAACGATTAATAAATGAAACAAAGACCAAATGGGGGGCTGGGGATTTAGCTCAGCAGTTCCGTGGCCTGCCTTGCAAGCACAAGACCCGAGTTTAATCCCCGGTACCAACCCCCCCCCAAAAAAAAACAAAGACCAAATGGGATAAAAACCCAAATAGCAAAGAATGGAGACTTAAATCAAACTCCATTAGTTATATTATTAAATATCAACGAACGAAAAACTTAAAATAAAAAGATTGTAACATGAAACTAAAACCCAAAACTAACTATATAAAAAAAATTGTTTATTTTTTTAAATGTACTTTAAATAAAAGGACAAAGACTTAAAAAGAAAAAGAAAAAGGATATGCTATGCAAGTGCTAGCCAAAAATAAAAACAAAGTATAGAGGAAGCTAGGTGCACATAAACACACACACACACACATACACACCCTTAAAGCAGATAAAGAGAACAATTCTATAATGATGAACTCATCAATAAGAATAATAAGAATAGCATTTCTGAATTTGATTCATCTAAAATAACACAGCTTCCAAATATACAGACCGAGACTTCTGCTTCCAGCCTTAATAGAATAACTGATATTAGAGTAGCCCTCCTCCTATAAATCATTCTAAAAGTGTGGTGTTGAACAACAGGCAGCCAAAAATTGGGATACCTAAAGAAACAGACACAAAGTGAGTCCCCACAAAAAAGAACAACACTCTTGACAAGCATAAAAAAGATAAGAGGGAGGGGTTGGAATACATATTTAGCAAAGCAACCTTGTAGAAATCTGCGGAACAGAATACCAGAAAGAAGAGAAGAAGCTACAGGAATATATGTATAAAACATATGATTTTCTTCTTGGAAAAGAAAGAAATATGTGTATTTAGTTGTGAGACGCCAGAACATAGATGGTCAAGTGTGAGACTCTATAATGCCAGACAAATAGCAACTAGCAGAAAGAATGTGCACTGAAAAATTA